TGTATCAAAATGTAATAATAAAGTTTGCAAATATGGTTTTTATTTAATAATTTAGCACTTTTCGTGAAAATGACTGGTCGCCTCTGCATGTGAAAAATTATGATGTGTTTGTTACTGGTTTTAATCAAATGAACTAAGTGGGTTAGCGAGTGTAAATAGTGAAGGAAAGGCATTGAGGAACAGAAATTACTGCTAAGATATATGTTTGTAGCAACTTGTGGTTACTACTCAACTACAGTCTTGCTGATGATACAGAAAATAATGTTACCAATCAACAGATTAATCACAGCAAAAAGCAACTATAACACCAAAGAACCAGTACAGAACAACAACGGTTGATTGCAGATTGTCGAGCTGAAACACAAAGGCTTGTTTATATTTTCAGGGACTAACTCATATTTATAATGAACTACTGTTTAAAAAAATACTCTCTGTGTTAATCCACAGAAACCAACAACAGGTTTTTGGACTGATATGAGATGATGCTCTCACCAGACAGTGCAAGGCAAACTTAAACTGACAAAATAGAAATACAAAAACAAATAAAGTAAAAGTAAAAGAGAGACTGATAGAAACATTTAGTTAATGTACTCACTGAGGAGGAGGAAGCAGATCAAAGTGTGCCTGACGTTCATGTTTGAGGATGTGATGGTTTAACGCTGTCTCTCACTTCTGACTCCACAAACCAGGAAGTGCTTTACTTCTTTACTGATAGTCCCCTCCTCCAAACACACCCCACACACTGAACTCTACTCTCCATGTCATTATAATCAAGTTTATATATTTTATATTAAAACTAGACTCGTTTATATCTTAAAGGGGTTCCTTTTCAGCTTCAGTATGTAGTGTCTCTACTTTAAAGAGTCCTCTCCTGCTGATGTTCAGGTGTATATCAGTATGTAGTGTCTCTACTTTAAAGAGTCCTCTCCTGCTGATGTTCAGGTGTATATCAGTATGTAGTGTCTCTACTTTAAAGAGTCCTCTCATGCTGATGTTCAGGTGTATATCAATATGCAGTGTCTCTACTTTAAAGAGTCCTCTCCTGCTGATGTTCAGGTGTATATCAGTATGTAGTGTCTCTACTTTAAAGAGTCCTCTCCTGCTGATGTTCAGGTGTATATCAGTATGTAGTGTCTCTACTTTAAAGAGTTCCTCTCCTGCTGATGTTCAGGTGTATATCAGTATGTAGTGTCTCTACTTTAAAGAGTCCTCTCCTGCTGATGTTCAGGTGTATATCAGTATGTAGTGTCTTTACTTTAAAGAGTCCTCTCCTGCTGATGTTCAGGTGTATATCAGTGTGTAGTGTCTCTACTTTAAAGAGTCCTCTCCTGCTGATGTTCAGGTGTATATCAGTATGTAGTGTCTCTACTTTAAAGAGTCCTCTCCTGCTGATGTTCAGGTGTATATCGTAAGGATGTGTCTCTGTAGTGTCTCTACTTTAAAGAGTCCTCTCCTGCTGATGTTCAGGTGTATATCAGTATGTAGTGTCTCTAACTTTAAAGAGTCCTCTCCTGCTGATGTTCAGGTGTATATCAGTATGTAGTGTCTCTACTTTAAAGAGTTCTCTCCTGCTGATGTTCAGGTATATATCAGTATGTAGTGTCTCTACTTTAAAGAGTCCTCTCCTGCTGATGTTCAGGTGTATATCAGTATGTAGTGTCTCTACTTTAAAGAGTCCTCTCCTGCTGATGTTCAGGTGTATATCAGTATGTAGTGTCTCTACTTTAAAGAGTCCTCTCCTGCTGATGTTCAGGTTCATATCAGTATGTAGTGTCTCTACTTTAAAGAGTCCTCTCCTGCTGATGTTCAGGTGTATATCAGTATGTAGTGTCTCTACATGTCTCCATGCTTTAATGTTCAAAAAGCTCTTTATTGTTCTCATACTGTCTGTGCTGCAGCGCCTCTTTTCACCATCTGTCTGAAACCAGAGCCCAGTCTGCTCTAATTGGTTAGCTGGCCGACTCTGTTGTGATTGGTCAACCACTTAAAGATGTCCCGCCCCTTAGCCTATCACACACAATGTGTTGGAGAGCTTGCCAATAGAAGAGCTAATGCTACAAGGTGATGTCACTATGTTCCTGAAGTAAACAAAGGAGTCCAATTGAGGTGTTTCAGGCAGGGGGGAGTGTGGGAGAGAAACTCCCTCTGGAGGAACACAGGGATTTTAGCCTTTGCACACCATTCACATGCACAAAAACCTAAATAACACACGACAAGGGAAAACCCCCAAAAGCCTTCAATGAAAGTTAGTTTCAACCCAATTGTGCTATCACTGAGCCCAATGAGTTAATGTGTCTTGCAACTTGTTTCTATCTGTCACAGTCGATCTGAAACAAATAACTTTACTCTTCAACAGAAGAACCAGTACAGAAGAAAAACAGCGGATTTCAGATTGTCGAGTAAAAACAAAAGTTTGTTTTAATTTTGAGACTATTGCTAGTAGTTATAAAGACCTACATTTAAAAGGAGACTCATATCAACTCTGGACATCATCTCAGAAACAAACACCACTGGACTGACAGAGTCCTCTCATGCTGCATATTTTTTAGTGATCGTCTGTGAATGAATAGAAAGAAAATAGAAAGAACAACTGTAAAATAAAAGAAACTGATAGAAATATGAAGTGTGTGAACTCACTGAGGAGGTTCATGTTTGAGTCTGATGGTTAAAGCGGCTTCTTACTGCTTTACTTCTGTAAATTATCGATGAATACTTTTTCATGTCATTTTATTCAAATGTGTGATTTTACATTAACACTAGACTTCGTTTTTGCCAATTATTCTTATGTGTTCATTTCTTCTAGTTCAAACACTAATGTACTTAAAGGTCACCTATTATGCAAAATCCACTTCTTCATGTCTCTTCTACATCAACATGTGTCCCCTCTTCTTCATGTCTCTTCTACCTCAACATGTGTTCCCCTCTTCTTCATGTCTCTTCTACATCGAACATGTGTCCCTCTTCTTCATGTCTCTTATACATCAACATGTTTCCCCTCTTCTTCATGTCTCTTCTACATCGACATGTGTCCCCTCTTCTCCATGTCTCTTCTACATCAACATGTTTCCCCTCTTCTTCATGTCTCTTCTACATCGACATGTGTCCCCCTCTTCTTCATGTCTCTTCTACATCGACATGTGTCCCCTCTTCTTCATGTCTCTACTTCATAACATGTTTCCCCTCTTCTTCATGTCTCTTCTACATCAACATGTGTCCCCTCTTCTTCATGTCTCTTCTTACATCAACATGTGTCCCCTCTTCTCATGTCTCTTCTACATCAACATGTGTCCCTCTTCTTCATGTCTCTTCTACATCAACATGTGTCCCCTCTTCTTCATGTCTCTTCTACATCAACATGTGTCCCCTCTTCTTCATGTCTCTTCTACATCACATGTGGTCCCCTCTTCTTCATGTCTCTTCTACATCAATGTGTCCCCTCTTCTTCATGTCTCTTCTACATCAACATGTGTACCCTCTTCCTTCATGTCTCTTCTCTCAACATGTGTCCCCTCTCTTCAGTCTTTCTACATAGACCATGTCGTCCCCCTCTTCTTCATTGTTCTCTTCTAACATCAACACTTGTTGTCCCTCTTCTTCCATGTCTCTTCTACATCAACATGTGTCCCCTCTTCGTCCATGATCTCTACTACCATCAACATGTGTCCCCTCTTCTTCCATGTCTCTTCTACATCAACATGTGTCCCCTCTTCTTCCATGTCTCTTACTACATAAGCATGTGTCCCCTCTTCTTTCATGTCTCTTCTACATCAGACATGTGATTCCCCTCTTCTTCATTGTCTCTTCTACATCAGACCATGTGTCCCCTCTCTCTTCCATGTTCTCTTCTACACTAACATGTGTCCCCTCTTCTTCATGTCTCTTCTTACATCGAACAGTGTCCCCTCTTCTTCATGTCTCCTTCTACATCGACATGTGTCCCCTCTTCTTCATGTCTCTACTTCATCAACATGTGTCCCTCTTCTTCATGTCTTCTTCTACATCAACATGTGTCCCCCTCTCTTCATGTCTCTACTTCATCAACATGCTTTCCCCTCTTCTTCATGTCTCTTCTACATCAACATGTGTCCCCTCTTCTTCATGTCTCTTCTACATCGACATGTGTCCCCTCTTCTTCATGTCTCTTCTACATCAACATGTTTCCCCTCTTCTTCATGTCTCTTCTACATCAACATGTGTCCCCTCTTCTTCATGTCTCTTCTACATCAACATGTGTCCCCTCTTCTTCATGTCTCTTCTACATCAACATGTGTCCCCTCTTCTTCATGTCTCTACTACATCAACATGTGTCCCCTCTTCTTCATGTCCTCTTCTACATCAGCATGTGTCCCCTCTTCTTCATGTCTCTTCTACATCAGCATGTGTCCCCTCTTCTTCATGTCTCTTCTACATCAACATGTGTCCCCTCTTCTTCATGTCTCTTCTACATCAACATGTGTCCCCTCTTCTTCATGTCTCTTCTTCATCAACATGTGTCCCCTCTGTGGAAAGAGACTCTGAAAGTTACAGTAACAAAGATTCTCTCTCTTTTTGATCCATTTCTATAAAAAACCTGTCTGAAAATGAGCTGATCAGATTTTGGCCACTTTATGATGTCATAACGATGTTTGTGTCTTGGTAACCATTAGCCAATCAAGGCACCACACCCCTTATCACCTGAATCTCCTCCTAGAGCACCATTGTGTTCTTTGTAACCAAAATCTCTCTCAGAGGGGCGTGGGGAGGGGCTCCTTATTTTCATCTAAAGTAAACAGACAGATAAATCAGCACTATGGAAACAGGGCTGAAACAGAGGGGGATTATGGGGTAATGCTGCAATGATCTGTTTGGAGTTTGGAGCCAAACACTTCAGAGACATGTTTTGTATCTATCTGAGAGCTATAATATATTGATGAAAAACAGTATAATAGGGGACCTTTAATACAATACAAATGACACTTCCAAAAGATGCTTCAAACATAAAACTTAATTATTTTTATTTTGTATATAAAAAATAACTAGGATTATTCTTGTAGTACACATATATACTTGCAGGATACAAACTCAAAATCAGTGATTTAGTTCAGATTTGTGTTGTTTTGTTGTGCAGACATACAAGTAGTTATAATTGTTGCAAGGAAACTGACAAAATTAAATCATATAATTATGACTCATCATCTAACCCATCAAATACATTTCTGCAGATGCAAAGAATTTATAAAAACAATGAATCGGACACTGATAACATTTTACCTTTTTCCCAGCAGTTCAATTGTTTTAACTGGTAACTAATGTGAGCTCTAACTGACATTGTTTACCGTTATCTTACCAACAATAAATCATTATAAAAGTTATGAAAATAACTCAGTTCTCTGAAATGAAAAAGCAGATTACAGTATATTGTGAAAGTTAGTCAGTTAAACCGCTTTGTGTTAACCTGTCGGCCACTCAGAGAGTTTAAGAGGAGGTGAAGCGTCTTCTGAGTGGATTTCGTCCAAGCTCGCTTCTACCCGAGGAACAGAGAAGAGTTATATGTAGATGCATATTTATGATATGACAGCCCTTTGTAAAACAACATTTGTTTGGCTTGATATGATCAATCACATGTGTTATGTAAATGTAAATAGTTATGTAATGAAGTCACAGAATCTAATCTAGGAACATTTGTGATTTTTTTTTAGCAGGTTGTTGTGATTTCTAAGAGAAATGGTAAGTCTTAAATGTCCAGTTGCTTTTGTTATGTGTTTGTTTCCTGTAAACTCACCTCTGGGTTTCCTGGCCCTCTTCCTGCAGAATATCAGCACAGACGCTGAGAGTACGATGAACATGACGACCAGAGTCAGACGCACATACAGCACCACACCTGAGAGCAGAAGAACACTTTGTTTACTCTGACACTTCCTGGTCCATAAACACAAACAACAAACTAAATGTACCGTGACCAGCTGGAGCTGTTGGTCCCTGTTGAGGCTGTGTGGTGCGTTCAGGGGAGGCTGAGGAAGGTACGGAGCTCAGACTCTTAGTGATGGTCAGTGTGGAGGCTGATGTTGGAAACGGTCTGAAAGTCACTTTTGGTTTTGAAGAGGTTGGAGCTGTGAAACAAAAGAAAACACAAAAGACAATCAGATACTGATTGTAAAAATAACTTGGCGCTATAACATGTCACTGAAAATAACATGAATTTAAATGTAAATGTATCAGTGTATTTCTAATCATATGACTAAATGCACAATATATGAATTGGTTGGTGCAACAACATTTAAATTAACTGAAGTGTGTGACGTCTGAGGTTACCATATGTTTCACAGATGAATGTTTGTGTTTAAAGGAGCATTTATCAGTGTTTAGAGTGTTGTGTTGCACTGAACATATTGTGGTATTTAGAAGAGCAGCCGCGGTCAAGGGAGAGATAAATCTAACCTATCTAGAAAAGACTCACCATCTTCAACTCTGATCTCAAACTCCATGTATGACGGTGAAAACACTCGGCCAAAGCCACATTTGTACCGTCCTGCATCAGACTTAGTCAGCTTTGTGATGCCCACATACAGAACTGTATCAGAATACGGAAAAGCAGTCCCTTCTTTAAATCTGATGCTGTATCTGCCTTTCCGGGCCGTGTCGGCGGTGTTTTGGAGCAGAGTGTCTCCTTTGCCACACTCTCCCTTACAGAGGATCTTCCTCTTTCCGGATAAATAGAAGGGGCATGAAACTGTAATGTCTCCTACTTCAGTTCCTGTACGGACGACGCTTTCACTGTTTCCATCCCGCTGTGCTGTTGAAAAGAAGATCAATTAATGGTTACTATGTACTCATGTAGGCAGCTGCAGTTTAACATATAACATTTCCTGTTTTATTAATTAAAAAGATCAGGATTTGATTTAATTAAAATTCATAACATTATTAACTAATTTCAGTTTGAAACATTTGTAATGCTTCAAAAGAGACTCATACTAACATGTTAAACCCTATATTTATATATAGTCTATGGTTAAACCACAGAAACCAACAAACTGTTGTTGGACTGATATGAGATGATACAATCAACAACACAATGCAGTGAAAACTTTAGCTGACCTACTGCAGATTAAATAAAGAACAATAACAGTAAACAATAGAGACTGATATAAATATTAAGTGTGCGTACTCACTGTGGAAGAAGAAGCAGATCAAAGCGACAAGCCAGACGTTCATGTTTGAGTCTCTGATGGTTTAACGCTTCCTCTCTTCTGTCTGGACAAAACAGGAAGTGCTTCACCTTTCTAAAAAGGATGCAGTCCCTCTGCTCTAAATACATCCACCACTCTGAACTCTAATTTGTCCTGCATGAATCTTCAATTGTATGTGTGATTTTACATTAAAACTACACCTGGATGTAGGTTACTGCAGAATTAAGTAATCATTTTGTAAAATAATTACAAGTGTTGCCATCATTGAGTCCTTTGTTTCTGTTTTATCAGTCAAAACATTGACAGTTTTGCACCCTCTCAAACACTTGTTGTTGTTTACATATATGTAATAGTGTGGGGGAATCTTCTGTGTAGCAATGCAGTGGGACTCACCGACTCATGAAGGAGACACGGGGAGCGCAGGAGCTTTGATGTCAAACACTGATGGTTTATTACGAGTATCGGCCGGAAGATTCACATCACAACTCACACAGCCAGAGCTTCTGACTGCACGGGAGGGATGCCACGTCAATTCTGAAGAGCCTCTCTCTCGATAGACCTTTTAACTAGTTCAGAGAGAGTAATCAACATATTTGGGGAGATAGACTAAACAGCTGGGAACACTGAATCACTTGCGTCTGACCCTTATGGCCTCGAAGCCAGCGATAATAATAGCGTTTTTTAAAAAAATTATACTGAGTTATTCTTCTTGTCAGGAACCGCTACTATTCGTTTGTTTTATGGATTTGGGCCGGTCTGGGTCCAAATGCCAGGGCTGATTTGCTGTCCCAGTCCAGCCCTGGTACCAGATGTGTTCGGGGTACCAGCAAGCCCCCAGGAAGTGCGCCGGACTCAGATGAAAATATTCGTGCTGGCCAAACGGCGGTACTACACTTCCTTTTGGTTGCAAGGCCCGGAAACACTTTTTCCCATTGACTTACATGGGGAAAGAGTGGTCTGTAAATCATTGGCTAATTTTTTTTAAACTAAATAAACTACCCAGTATGAACACTTGTATAGCCCTTATTACAAATATTCGTTCCTCAAGTTGTAATAATGTGCTAATAACGTTATTCTGAGAGTTATTTCCCTCTGCATTATGAACGTGCATCTAATCCACGGGACCGCGCCGCCCGGCACGTTCATGTTACGTGTCCCGACCAATCAGAACACACTGCTCACAGGGAGGGTGGGGCTGGAGCTATTGGAGCTACAACGAGCCGTTAAAGGCAGAGAGTGAAATTCAGTGAATACACGTAGTTTACAGAGATGCTGTTTGAGAAACCAATGTGAGTTGCGTTTATCTTTACCCATGGATGCACAATAAGAACGGATCCATATCGTCTTACTGCCATCCCACGGAGCTGTAATAATGGATATATTGCACATGTTTGCTGTAATTCATTATCATACTACATGGGCTGTATGATTAAATATTGTACCGTAAATGTTGTATTAAATAAAGTTAATATTACTTATTATTATAAGTATATATATATTATATATATATACAGTACAATCATTCTTTTATGCTAAATGAAGCTCTGTTGCTTGGATATCACTAGATCCTGTTACAGCGTAATATAAGTTCATAACGATTGATGTTTACATTAGCATAATTACTAGCTAGCCGCTAGCTGCTAACTGCCGCCTCGTTAATATAAAATCCATCATAATAACAAATCATTACCATGCTGTCATGAACGTGCGGTGCTGTTACGTGTACGCAAATTGACGTGCTTGATGTGAACGAGCATGTTGGTTAAAGTTGCGCATGCGCTATGAGCGCACATACGGGTACTTCTCAGGCATGCCGGGTAATCTGTGACGTTTCGCTCTCTCAAAAGTTGGGCCATTTTATCATCATGCGCTAATGAGCAACTCTCATAGGAATGAATGAGGCCCCGCCTACCACGCTGTATCCAGTTCTTATTATACATCCATGGGTACCAGATGTGTTCGGTTGTATATCCGTCATATCCGTTGTGAGGGATTAATTTTGTCTTTACTTAAGATATTTGACCTTTCGGCCTGTTGACGTTTACGACGAAGCCAAAGTCTGTTATCTGTCTTAAGGAATGGGAACTATCAGCTATTGCTGCCATTATCAGTTTTATGACCGGTCAACTCTCGGTCACAAGAGCCATAAAGTCAAATAAGTAATTCAGTACCTCCAGGTGGTCACGTACACCTTCCCCCCAATATGTGAGTTGACTCTGAGTGAAGCTAATTAAAGGTCTGCCAAGATGAGAAGGGATTCAGAATTGACATGGCAACCCACCGGTGCAGTCAGAACTTTCTGCTGCTGTGACTTGTGATATGAATTCTCCGGCCGATGCTTGTAATAAACTGCCAGTGTTTGACATCAGAACTCCTGCTCGTCCCGTGTCTCTCTGAGTCCTGACTCTCCATTGCTACAGAAGTTTCCCTTACATCCGTCATATTTTACGGCAACTCAAGAGGGCCATCACGGTCAAATTCCGAACATTTAAACGTAGCCGACACTTCATTCTTTACTTTGTCCGTTATTATATGTAGAAGATTATACTTTTTCTCCGTCATGTTGTTTCCATAGCAACAACTTCAAACAGATAACTATAATTGGACACGCTACAATATTATCCTTAATATTTACATTAACAACATTCCTTTGACACTTATAACATTACTTTGCAAGGTAAGCACAACCAAAATAAGTTTGTAAAAGCAGAATTTGAACACTGTTTCTGTGCTCCTACAATATTTTTGTATAATACCATTACACCCTGAGCGCACAAGTACACAATAGCGATCGTTCACTGTTTCAACTGGCATGCTGTGGCATTTAACCTCATCACACACACACACACACACACACACACACACACACACACACACACACACACACACACACACACACACACACACACACACACACACACACACACACACACAGAGCAGTGGTGAGGATCTCAGCCTGCCACTGACGTTCTACCAGAAAACATCAGCCGTTAGCGAGCACACAGAGCTCATATCTGTTCAGAAACTGGACAAAAGTTAAACAAGTACAAACCACAGACTGTCTGTGTCATGGCGAATACAGTCGCTGGTTTATTTATGTCTGTAGGCCGTTGTTGTGAGTGTGGACGGAGTAGGCCTATACAACATTAGCTTAGCCTGGTCGACCCGATCTTCATTCAGAAAACAAGCATTTTAAAAGTGATTTTGCCTGCCGTCTGTCTGCAGACTTGTCAAGCATTAATTCATGGTTTTTACTAACCGGTATCAGTATGTTGTTACTTCAGCATAATTTAGAAACGTGTATTACAATTTAATCACGGTAAAATATGTTCATTTTGTTGTAGTTGTAGCTCCCGAGCCAGCGCGTCTTGTTTGAATGATGCGAGTAAACACAGCTAGCAGTGGCAGCCGTGGTGAAACCATGGGTAAAACTCAAGCGTTTAGAGCGATGGGAGCGAACAACGACCCCTGATAGATCTCGCGAGAATGTGTATAAATATAGATACATTTTCATAACAAAACAATGGGGTTGCTAAGCCGTTGCTAGGCCAATTGTTGGAGTTGCTATAGCAACTCCAAGCTACCCCCTGGCGCCGCCCCTGCCTAACCCTAACCCTAAACCCAACTACTAACCATTTAGTAGTTGGAATTATTAACTCAAAATTAACTTAAATGTGTTTAAATCATGGTTAGATCAAGAGGTTAATAGACATTTTTTAAATGGATTTCTACAGAGTTCTAGCACACCATTGAGTGCTGCTGAAAAGCAAAGGCGCTATCGTGCCAGACGTGATGCTAATGATCAGCAGAGACAGGAGAGAGAGAGAAGTGGAGCAAAGATGTAGAGACAGGAAAGAAGAAAAGGCAAAAAGACAGAAGTAAGAGAGAGCAGCGTGCCCAGCGAAAAAAATGGAGAGAGCAGAGGAGTAATGCCATGGAAGAGGTACTTGAGGGAATTAACACCCCCCCAGTCAGCCCTGATCCTCCAGTCGACCCTCAACCTGGGACCTTAAGGTTAGGATATTTATAAGTTGAGGTTATTGAGGAATGCAAGTTTTACTGTGAAAAGGTCCATGCAGGTAAAATGGTCAAGTGACAATACACGTATGTTTATGTATTATGTTTCTTTTAGGCAACGTGATCTTAGAAGAAGGAATAGGAAGGCTACCAAAGCAAAAATAAACAGAGAATTTCAGGAAGTACAGGACAAGTTCAAAAAAGCCAAACAGAAGGCAGACAAATACAAGAAACGCCTCCAAAGACTGAAAAATGACTATCCATCTCCAAGATCCAAAGTCAACAAGTTAATTCAGAATATTTCGGGCACATCATCACTAAGGAGAACCTTGTTGTTCCATACAGCAGTAGCTGAGGAAGTGCGTATCAAGTATGCACATTCAAGAAGAGAGAGTGACAGACAAGTCATTGCAGGAATTGTCACCAACAAAATCTTAAAGAAATACAGGCTGCAGAGATTGGCGCAGCAAGTTTTTGGTTTTTCAAGAAGGAGGTGGACGAAACTGGCAAATGAAAATGTCTGCTTGTACCAACGGAAAAAACACAAGGGGAAAGCTGCCATGCTGAGATCAACAGTGAGGTTGTTCTTTTCACGTGACGATGTCAGCAGGATCACAACTGGAAGAAAACAAACATTGACAAATGAAAAAAAGTTCCTGGCTGAGCACTCCAACCACCGTCTGTCATACTCTCTGTTCTGCACACTTCGCCCCTACTGGATTGTGCATCCAACATTAGCGGATCGTGAAACTTGCATGTGTAAACAACATGAAAATCTAGGCTTCATTGCCAAAAAGCTTCATCAGATGCACATAATTGATACATATAATCTGGAGAGCCTTACAGAAGTCATCACATGTGACACTACAGACAAGCATTGCATGTATGGGGAGTGTGAAAAATGGAGCAAAAAAGAATACGAACTTACAAGCCACTACGAGCAACTGATCGTGTCTCCTATATTCAGTGGGCCACTGTGGACAAAGACCATAAAGATAATCCCGGAGTATCCTCTAAAATAACTCTAAAAAAATAATTTGAATGCTCCCAAGAAGAGCTGGTTGAAAAATGTGCCATTCTTCTTCAGAATTTCAGGCGCCATCTCTTCAATCTCAGGCAGCAATATGCTTTCTTACGGGCCCTGAAGCTGAACCTCCCTGTAAATGATTGTGTAGTCCATGTTGACTTCTCTGAGAACTACGGCTGCAAATACAGCGCTGAAGTGCAAGCTGTCCATTTTGGTGCATCACACCAACAGGCCACTTTGCACACTGGGGTTTACTATGTGGGGGGGGGGGTCTGCCCCTACCTCCTTCTGCACTATATCGGAATCCAGACGGAAGGGGCCGCCTGCCATCTGGCAACACCTGGAGCCCATCCTGGAGGAAATTCGAGAGGATTGGCCGCATGTGTCAACCATCCATATTTTTAGCGACGGTCCCTGCACACAGTACAAGCAGCGTGGCAATTTTTACCTCTTTTGCACCGAGATCTACAAGAAAGGGTTCACAAGAGGAACATGGAACTACTTTGAAGCCAGTCATGGGAAAGGTGCCCCAGATGGTGTGGGCGGAACATTAAAGAGAAGGGCAGACAAGCTTGTCAGTCAAGGATTTGCTATCCCAACGGCATTGTCCCTATACCAAGCTCTGAGTGAGGGGAAATCTAAGGTAAAGTTGTTTTACATTCCAGAGCAAGCTGTGGAGGATGCAGTAAAACAAATGCCATCTGACATCCCAGCCGTACCAACCACAATGAGGATCCATCAGGTTGTCACTCTTTCTCCTGGTAAGATTTGCTACCGCGACGTCAGTTGCATGTTTTCCTCAAATGGGAATCTTGAATGTGATTGCCAAAAAAACCAAGTCATTCACATTCAATGCCACAGATGACCCAACTGAAGACCCCAACCACATAACACCAGAAGTGGTGCAGTGACACAGCCCAGAGGTTGTGGGGAAATGGTGTGCCTTGGTGTACGACCACATCATCTACCCAGGGATCATCCAAGAGGTTAATGAGACCCACTGCCAGGTCAAATGTATGCACAAAGTGGGGTCAAACCGTTTTTTCTGGCCGTCCAAGGAAGATCTTCATTGGTATCCCTTACAGGATGTGCTGACCCTTATTCCTCCACCAGAGAACGTCACATCACGCCACATGGCCATTGCAAGGGAGGTATGGGATACTCTGGCCAGCCACGAAAAGTGAAAATGTGTACTGCAGCACCCATCACATTCTTGATTAGTTCATGTTTAGTTTAAAAGATTGGTCAGTTCCTGACTCTTTTTTTTGTGGACAAAAAATGTTTTTATTCCAATGCTGTGATTAGAGCATGTATTTTACTTATTGCAGGTCGTTCTGGATAAAAGCATCAGCTAAATGAAATGAAATAATATAATAATATCTTAAGAAGCACCGATGTTATCAGCCAATGTTAATTATCTGTTTACACTAGAAAATGTAATATTAATCAGTAAAACTGCATAAATTAAACGTCTAAAGAATTTAAATGACACATTTTAGCCCTGAACATTAATAAATTAATTAAATTAATCAATGTTACAATCTGTTCCCAGGCAACATGATGAGTGAGAACAATCTCATTTGTTTAAAACTTGGCAAACAGCCCGTTTATACATTTGCCACTGAATATTTTATATGAAATATGAAGTTTGTTGTTGTGTTGACATGTTTGATGTTTATCATTGATACTCATCCTGTTAATCTTTTATTAAAAAATATCTACAAAATATGATCAAACAACGTTTCTGTGATCCTGAGTATTTATTTGTCACATTTATGCCACGATCTATAAATCAAAGCAATGTAGCCATTCAACCCTGTTACTATATGATTTTCTATTAACCCTTCTCTTGCGTTAGGTCATACCCCCTTCCCATGCTATTTTCGGTCAAAATTGACCGGTGTGTTTTGCACAGTGATATCTCTGGAACCCCTTATCCAATTTTGATGGTTGACATCTCATTTGAACAGTCAAAGCAAGTAGAATCAAGGTAGGACAGACAGAATGACACCAGGGGTGAATGTCATATTATTTTTGGCAGTAAGTTCAAAGATAGTGCTTATTTTACATTACTGTATATTATGAAAATGCTTGCCATGTAGGCTGTGTTTACTGGAGATGGAAATGCTTTAGTTAGTGTTGTAGCTGAGATTCTTCCCGTTCCAATTATGTATGGGATGTATTGATTTGATACAAGCAAGCCAGTGTTTCATGCCATGGTCCGGACCCACCGATGGGCCCATCAAGTTCAGCATTCACTGTGATGAATATAAAATAAGGCACTGATAATATTTTCCTCAATGAACATTTATTGAAAGAGAAATATACCATAACAGAACGTGTGTGTGCTCACGTGTGTTCACGTGTGTTCACGCACATGATTGGCAATGCAAAATTGTGGAATGTCACCTCAGGCTCCTCTCCCTCAGGGGCCTCTATCTCAGGGGCCTCTCCCTCCTCTCCCTCAGGGGCCTCTATCTCAGGGGCCTCTCCCTTAGGGGCCTCTATCTGAGGGGCCTCTATCTCAGGGGCCTCTCCCTCCTCTCCCTCAGGGGCCTCTCCCTCAGGGGCCTCTATCTCAGGGGCCTCTCCCTCCTCTCCCCCAGGGGCCTCTATCTCAGGGGCCTCTCCCTTAGGGGCCTCTATCTGAGGGGCCTCTATCTCAGGGGCCTCTCCCTCCTCTCCCTCAGGGGCCTCTCCCTCCTCTCCCTCAGGGGCTTCTATCTCAGGGGCCTCTCCCTCCTCTCCCTCAGGGGCTTCTATCTCAGGGGCCTCTCCCTCAGGGGCCTCTATCTCAGGGGCCTCTCCCTCAGGGGCCTCTATCTCAGGGGCCTCTCCCTCAGGGGCCTCTATCTCAGGGGCCTCTCCCTCAGGGGCCTCTTCCTGGTCTGTTGTAGGCTCATAGTCTGGATCACTGTTGTCTTCCATTTCTGAGACATCTTCCTCAATCTCCTCTTCATCTGGTTCAAAAATGTGTCCAGAGCCCCTCGCCCAGAACATAGCCTAATTGGACGCCTGCTCATTGTGTCAATGAGTCAAATGTGAGCAAGGCACAAATATAACTGCTTGAGAGCCAGTAAGGGAGGCGCACTTAGCGCGAGAAAGTGAGAGGTTTGTGTTTCTCGAGGGGCACAGAGCTCGCACCTGTGAGAAGGTATGATACATTGTATCATACAGCGCGAGAAAGGGAGAGGTTCCCGTAACATGTGTGTGTGTATATAGATGTTTTCCATCTGCAGGATGAACATAATACACTCAAACCCATTCATTTTCTATGGCGGTCAAATCTGACCGAAAACGTCAAGGGTGTTTCACTGTTGAATAAATCACTCAAAATTCAATGCAAGTGGTGATCATCAAGTGTATATGTTCAGAGGCTTAGTGTGGAGGATACCATAAGGTATTGAGGCAATTGGATGAAAAACACAATATTTATGATGAAAATAAAAGTCATTCGGTCACTTTTGACCCGAAACGCAAGAGAAGGGTTAAAATAACCTTAAATTATTTTCTCAGCTCCCAAGGGTTACAACTATTGTCCTTTTAATAGTTTGAGTAATTGTATATATAATGTATTTGAGCAAATATTTTTAATTAAATACAGAAATGTGTAAAAAGAAACGTGTGACTATTGAAAAGTTGGGGAAGACAGATTTAAAAAGCTACTTAAATTAATATAAAACAAGTTTTATCCTAAATAACATGAGTATTTAACTTGAATGTGACTTTCTTTATTACATAATAGAAAATGATTTTATTTAACAATATTTTGAAATGTACTTTTATCAGTTTAAAGAGTATTGGTAACAGGGTTGAACAAAGCATGGCACACAACCAATACAACATCTAATAAAAACTATACCTTTGATGCCTGAGCTGGGCCAATCACTTTTTCTGATGGTTTAATATCTGTTTTTCTCAATTACATAACAAAAATATATAAAATAAAAGGTTCATTTTTCAAAAGTGTCAATGTCTAAATTGTCCTCCAATTCTGGAATGACCCTTAAATCGCTGCATGATACAAACTAAAACTCATTGATTTAGTTAAACCTTTTGAATCACAAAGATTATTCAGTGAGTTGTGCAGACACAATAATAATCGTTATTGCTGCCGGAAAACGGCCAATGTCAAATCATCATTTAGTTAACTAGCGCCTCAGCGCTTATTATTTTAAGTTAATTGTCTGTTTCATTTCTATATGATTTTGGCCGCTACAGCTATTACTATTCTTTTCATACCCTTGTTTCTCTGAGAAGAGAAGAAATTATACTCTAAACGGAGCTGACACATGGTGTCTCTTCACTTGTACACTTGAGGGGTCAGAGTTCATATGGTGAGAGATTCCATGAGCGATATGCGCCGGCCTGTGCCTTTACCTTGGACTTCTGGTAGAACTGCTCGGGTCTTGATAGATAGAGTGGGGAAGTTCATGAGATCTTTCTAGAGGGTTATCAAGAATAACTTTTATCCAATGACCTTTTCCCTCTCTGTCTGTGTCTGTGTATTCTCTTGTTCCGATTAACCCAGCCAAATCTTTTTTCTTGTTTTGTATCTATATCTACGCCGGGATCCGGAGTCGAGGCTGATCCTCTTGCTGTAGTCCTGTGTCTTGGATCCTCTATCCTGCGTTCTGGATTAAGTCGTGGACTTCGGGTCGTGGCTGAACCTGTCTCTGCAGTCCTGCCTTGGGTCTCGTCATGCTGCTTCCCTGATGGCTTCCACAGGATTGTAGCTGACATCCTCGTGGATTCATCTTCTTATTACAGACACATGCATTTCCTAACATTCGGTCTATATGCTGTAAAATGTATTATCTCTTCGATTTACACGCGGCATCTATTGCACGTCTGTCCGTCCTGGGAGAGGGATCCCTCCTCTCTTGCTCTGCCTGAGGTTTCTCCCATGTTCCCCTTAAACTGTGGGTTTTTCTGTGAGGGTCTAAGGACAGAGGGTGTCGTTTTTCTCATACTGATATTCTGAACAATCTGTGCTGTTGTATTTGCTGTAAAGTGTCTCTACTGTAGGCTATTTTTATTATATGTACAGCACTTTGGCTCGACCAAAAATCGTTTATAAATGTGCTATATAAATAAAACTTGATTTGATTGTTCTCATGATGACTAGTGGTATCCCCATATCACACCAACTATATATGAATATGCAATAAATACAGAATAAATATAAAATCTAACTGCAATACAAAATATATACATTTCTGCAGATAAAATGTAATTATACAAATAATCATTTATCTTTGATGTTAACTTTTTTAAACCTTAACATGTTAGTGCTGTTTGGTGTTACATTTTCTAACACACTGTAGAAGAATATTTTTTAAATAGATCACCAATCAACTAATATGAGCTTTGAATGATAGTTTACTGTTGATTCCCACGGATAAATTACATTAACAGTTACAGCTACATCTGAATTGACAGTGGAGCACGGAGGAGGTGAAGCGTGGCTAACATCAGAGCGCGCTTCCACCCCTAGGAGGATGTTATCTGCATCACCACAGGGGGCGCTGTGGAGCGAGGCAGCACCACTGTTGGAAGAATCCACCTCAGAGTAGTTGATATTAATCGGGTCATCTTTAGTCTGCAAGAAAACAAAGTATACTTTATCACTTGAGCTTGTTCTTTAGTTTACCGACATGTTCTGTGAGCATATTTCCAGGATGTGAGAATGCTTCATGTATTCAGTTTTTACCTGCAAATCTATATTGTTTCATGGAAACTATCTGTATTTCTGTACATCCCCTCACACCTTCACGTTCAGTCCGAGGACTTCCTGTTCAAATCAACGGAAGCTTGAGGCTTGGGGTTTGATCACAAACTGGTTTCTGTTTCATGGTACTCTTCTGTCTTGATGTAAAAGTACACATAGATCTTTCTTTGTTTTTGTTTTTTTGTAAAACCTGCTTTTCCTTTTAAATATGAAACGTTTGAGGTAAAGTTTGTTTGAAAACACATCTTTAAGCAAATGTCCCCAATCTTCTCTTTCTTGCCACTGCAGAAATACTTCCTCTCCTTAAGGCCATGTCATAAAGCGTAATACAAACAAAAATGTCAATTCATATTTTTCAACTGCTGTATTTGTGTTTGAGGTGCAGAAACAGCTTGTGAACAAATCGAAACCATCACCTATCAATTATAACCTCTAAAATGTGTGAAGCTTAAAACCTAAAACCCTCCCACACGTACTTTCTTCTGAGAAGTGGCTGCAGTGACGAAGCTGTACTCGTCGGTGGTTTCGACTCCGTTTAGTTTGGTATATTTGGCGTAGGAGTAAATGGTAGATATTAATACAGGTGGAGAACCGCTCCCTCTGACGTCTTCATAAACTTGGTTAGCCTGCAGGAAGTGAGAACAGATTTGTTTTGTTATGAGCTGGTTTCAGAAAATATAGTATATCTGAAATGTCCATGATAAATGTCCATCTTACCTCAACACCATACTCAGGTTCCACAGGAGGATCTGTAGACAACGCAGGTAAGGGATATCAGATCAAATTATTTTAACTGCTCATACATCTCAAGACAACACCTAATGTCAATGGTTGCATGACTAATGATGTGTTCAGGAGCAACACAGAGATGTAACTGTGGAACTGAAGTGCCATAAAACTCCCCGTAGAAACTCACCATCTGTAACTCTGATCTCAATGTCCTGGTATGAGTCGAGGAAAGATCTGTCCAGACCACATTGGTACCGTCCTGCGTCAGACTTGGTCAGCTTTGTGATGCCCACGTATAGAATTGCGTAAGATAATAGAGTCCCTTCGTTATATCTGATGCTGTATCGGCCCCTCTGTTCGGAGTCTCCAGTCGTTTCAACCAGAATGTTTCCTTCTTCACATTTTCCCTTACAGAAGAGCTTCCTTCCTCCAGAGAAAGTAAAGGAGCATGAAACTCTGAAGTTTCCTCCTTCAGTTTCTGTACGGTCGAGGTTTTGTGCGTTGAGGAGCCCACTGTTTCCATCCCTCAGTGCTGTTGAAAAGATGTTCGGTCAATAGTTACTTTATTCCTGTAATACACTGCAGTCTGATTTCACAGTTACATTAATCCAGTGGTTCTCAAACTTTTTCTGTCAGGAGAAAAAAAAAAGTCGGGCCCCCCCAACACAAATAGTCAGGCTCAGTGGCAGCACCAGCGACTTCTTTTGGGGGTGCTGTGGGGTAGCTTGACGTTTCATAGAGGGTGCTCAAACATTTAGGGTTTCCCATTAATGCACCGGGCGCTACAGTGGAATGTTCTACTGCAACAATCCCCACGCACATACACAATATACCCGCAACTGTTTCAATGAAGGCTCGATAATCAGCTCACGGCATATAGGTGTAAGCAGGGGTAAAGTGCTATTTTTACAGGTGATGTGTGGACCTCACATATATTTTTAAATATTGAAGTTAAATGCATCAATCTGGTGCACTTTGAGAGCAACATGAAGAGATCTATGGATACCTCTCTCAACACCCATTTGAAACAGAACTGTTAACAGATTTACTTTTTCTTTATGGATATTTTACTAATCACCCTTTTAAACTTGATTCTTGTTTTACTGCCATATAGTATTTCATACCTGTTTTTCATTTATTCTCTTATTTTTTTATAACTATAATGATCATATAAACGTGTGCCTCGGAAATAATTGTTTACATTAATGGTGACCAAAACGTTTGAGACCCACTGAGATAACACTGAAAGAGTCCTTTAGCTCACTGAGTCTCTCAGTCTGACAGGAGAGGACTCTCCTCCACTTTGTTGTTGAAAAGACTCCTTATATCCGTTAGCGTAGCTCGCTAGCACCAGAAGCTAACAACAACGATTTCCGGTACCGGTGCGCTCTCTCTCGCTCTCTCTCGCTCGCGCACACAAAATGGCTCGTTCTACACACACACACAAAGCCGAGCTTTAATGAAACACAGAGACCCAGACGTAATAGTACTGTATCATATGATTTTCGAATCAATAATTTTTCAATTTATGATTTTTTTGTGCGCCCCCCCACTTTGAGAACCACTGCATTAATCATTCATTGATCCTACTGGGAGCTGCCCGGTTCATGCAGTCTGTTATAACTCAATCCAACAGAAATATGAATATATTAGATCAAATTTAAAAAGCAGAAGAGATCTTTAACAAAATAGACGGTTTAATGTTCATTAGAAACTTAAAAAAGTTTTTATTGTGATGAAGTATGTGAAATGCTTAAAATGCATTTATAAAACAACAGCTCTCAGTTTGTGAACAGACCGCTAAAAGATGTGTACTGCTGCAGTTCTTCCTCTTTAGCTGCTTCAAATAAAGTGAACTCATATTTGTATCACAAAGCTAGTTATTCGGGCTGAAGCGACAGAAAAATAACTTGACTCTTCAACAGAAAAGGCAACTATAAAACCAAAAGAACAATAGTTGACTGCAAATTACCAATTGCTTTTATTTGAGGATATAACTAATACCTGTAATAATCTGCATTTTAAAAAAGGCACTCGTACTAACTCTGAGCATGATATGAGATGATGACAAGACAATGCAGTGAACATTTTAGATGACTGATTGTTATTATATAAAGAAAATAAAGCTCAATAACAGTAAAACAAAAGAGAGACTGATACTCACTGAGGAGGAGGAAGCAGATCAAAGTGTGCCGGACGTTCATGTTTGAGTCTCTGATGGTTTACTGCTGCTTCTCTTCTGTCTTCAGGAACTGCTTTACTTCTCTAAATGATGCGAGTCCTACTCCAAACACTCTACTTTTTCATGCCATTATATTCAAGTGTGGATTTACATTAAAACTGGACTTGGTTGTAACTTAATGCAGTAACAATTTTACATGTGTGTACAATTATTCGTATAGCTGTCATAATAACCATTTTGCCATCATTGAGTCCAGAGTGTCCATTTTCTATTATTTAATCTACAGGTTTTCTAAGCTTCAACAAAATATACATTTATGTATTTATGTGTAAATGCTATTAATCTGACAGTAATCTGACAATGCTCAGAGCCATCAACTAAACACATTAAATATAGTTATGAAAAAGACAGAATAAATACAACATTTGACTGCAGTAACAAGATATACTAAAGTCTTCAGATGCAGAGAAACACATTAACTTATAAAAATATCTGATACTTTACATTTTAAAACTAAATACATTTACTTTTTTGACAACGTTTGGTATTATATTTTCAAACAAAATCAAAAAGGTTAACTAAACTCTAATAACTTTAGTTCTTTTAAAGATCTCCTATCATGCTATTTTTAGGCATATATTATGGGTCTCAGATATATACACATATATAAAAACATGTCTATGATGGGTTTTGCTCAAAATATCAAAGAGATCACGCATTTTAGAAATCCCTCATACCCCTCTGTTTCAGCTGTTAGAGAAACGCTGATTCGGGGTCCTTAGCTTGAAAAAAAAAAAGAAGAAGAGGGGGAGCTAATGCCTGCTCAGAAGAAAAGCTGCCGTGATTAAATGCCATCATGTTCCAAACCACATCAAGGATTATTTCTGAAACAGTATGGAGCTCAAAGGCTTTCTTTCTTGCCGGTTATACCACAAGGTGAGTTCCTTTTTATTTCCTGCTTTTTTACACATACTCTCTCCAGTAGCGTTAGCGATGCTAATGTAAACAAAGACCATTTTACGTCCAAAACACGTCGTGCATTTTTTCTGATAGTAATGTTTCTGAAAGGGCTGTGGGTCCACATTTCCGATATTATGTCATATCGGACGCAAATCTGGATCAGCTCCGTTGTACCCCCGTTTTTAGAGATGTGGGTACGGAGGAAAAGAGAGAGGGTTTCATTTTCTGACACTTTGTGAGTAACCTAAAGGACATTAAAAAGTGCATTTTGCATGATAGGAGACCTTTAAGTTATTTACCAGATACATTTGAAATGCGTAATGACACAACTTTGTGTTCGCCTGTCCGTCACTGAGAAAGTACATTTGGAAATAACAGATTTGAAGCTACATCTGATGTAAAGAAATAGTGGAGTAAAGAGCAAGTGAAGCGTCTTCTGCGTGGCTAACGTCGGAGCTCTGTGCTACCCGAGGATCAGAGTACAGGACGTTATCTGTGTCGCCACAGGGGGCGCTGTGGAGCGGGGCAGCACCATTTTTTGAGAAATCCACCTCCGAGTAGTTGAGATTACCCGGGTCATCTTTAGCCTGCAAGAAAACAAATACATCGTTATTTGTCACATGATCATCATTTCAGGATGTGTACTGCTTATGTTTTTGGTTTTATGTACAAATCTATTTTTGCTTTATCAACCCGAAAATCTGTTTTTTTTTTATACGCCACTTTTTCCTCCTCCCTCCCTCACACCTCTACATTCAGTCCGAGGACTTTCTATTAAGATCAACGGAAGCTTGTCTATTGAGATATGATCTAGCCTTGTTCCTCTTTCTGTTTTCTGTTAGTTTTATCTCTTGATGAACACATTGTTCATAGATGTAAGTAGATTAAGTTAGTTTAAAACCAAATGTGTTTAATTTAAAATATGTCCTCTGCTGTACAATAAAAAACACTTTCATTTGTCATATCGTCTGTCGTCTTTCAGTGTGAGATAGAGAGGCTTTTGTCAAGTGTGAACAAATCTTATCCATCACCTTTTAATTAAAACCTCTCAAGTTTATTTAGGGGGTGTGTAGCTGAAAACCTAAACCCCTCCCACACTTCTGACTTACTTCCTTCTGAGAAGTGGCTGTAGTGACTAAGCTGTACTCGTCTGTGGATTCAGGTTAGTATTGATATCAGCTGGTTTTACAAACATGAATACATCCCAGATTTACTCAAACTCACCTCTGTATCAGAAATATACTCAGTTTCCATAGGAGGTTCTGAAAGAAATGCAGTTCATGAGCTTCAAAAACAAAACTTTATAAGAAAACATTTAAGATTTTGGGCAGAGCTGAACTCCATTTTGGGTTAAAAAGCAACCAGACTCAAACGATTAATGAGCTTTGAATCTACCTCTGTGTGTATATAACACCAACCCACTGATCAACATTGTTTTTCCAAAAGACTCTTCGTACTTGTTCTAAATGATTCAAATTGAGTTTAGCGGAGTTTCTGAATTCCCTTTTTCTCTCCCCATGTCACTTCAACTCCACAGCCTCATATCTGTACTGCAAACACTAAATGAGCCCTAGTTACATGACAGATGAGGTCTTCAGGAGCATCAACGACATGTCTTTTTTTAATTAGAAATGTGACTGTGGGACTGAAGTGCCATGAACAGAGAGGATCCAGACACAGGGATAAACTCAGCCTGTTAAACAATACATTTTGAGAAAAGATTCATCTTAACAGTCAAGTTGAAACATTTAGAACAAATAAATAAAACGAAAAGGTTTTACGGACAAACAATCGGAATCAGTGAGTGATTTTTAAGTAAACGATCTATACAACCATTTGTCAAAAAAGCTCAGATTTAAATACATATTATTCAGATCACAGAAGTGTGCTATTTAGAAAGTGTATTAAAGTTGACTTGAATCAAATAACACAAAATGTTTAAATCTAAATGTCAATAGTTATGTCATATTATCACAGATGTTACGAGGGAAACAATGGAGCAACATTATTGACTTTTAGAGCAGTGTGTTCAAAATAAGTTGAAGGTCCCTTTGTTTTGGCCGTTGTGATGCGTGTGTGTTTCCTTTCGCCTCACCTTTCCTGGCTCTCTTCCTGCAGAATATCAGCAACACAACCGATAGTACGATGAACATGACGAGCAGAATCAGACCAACGTACAGCACCACACCTGAGAGCAGAAGAACACCTTGTTTACTCGGATACTTCCTGGTCCATAAACAACAACAACAAACTAAAAGTACTGTGACCATCTGGAGGCTGCGTGGTGCGTTCAGGGGAGGCTGAGGAAGGTATGGAGCTCAGACTCTGAGTGGTGGTCAGTGGGGAGGCTGATGGGGCTGATGTTGGAAAAGGTCGGAGAGTCACTTCTGGTTTTGAAGAGGTTGGAGCTGTGAAACAAAAGGAAATCCAAAATATAAATAAATAATTCAAACTTTTAAAAAAAATATTTATTCTACTAAATTCATACAAAAACAAAAACGTATAATTCATACACACAAATGAACAAAATTAGTAGAAGCGGGATGGCTGAAGCATAGCTTATAGGGAGTAGCCCTCCCGTGCATCATCATTGGCATCAATATAACAATGGCATTTATTTCGTTAAAATGTATAGAAATGAAAGAGTACAACAAAATAAAGAAAACTAATGAAAACTGGAGAAAAATAAATAAATGAAATAAAAATTAAGGCAAGGAAAAAAGAAAATGCATAAATAATACTGGGAATATCTAATATTTGATAGCTAGAGTAATCTGCAAATATAATTGTTTTTACTTTAGTTTTGAATTGTTGACTAGTAATACTTGAAAGGTCTGGGTGAAATCCATTCCACGTTCTAATCATTCAGTTAAATGAAGACGGTAATTAATGTTTTGTGCAACAATATTTAAATTAGCTGTAATGTTTGTAGTGATTTTCGGATGTGTAGCAGATTAACTGTTTTGTATTTAAAAATATAATTGTTATATTGAACATATTGGGTTATTTGAAACATCAGCAGGTGTCAGTGAACAGATAAATCCAAAACTCCCCGTAGAAAACTCACCATCTGTAATTCTGATCTCAATGTCCTGGTATGAGTCAGGGAAAAGTGCAGATCTGACCAGACCACATTGGTACCGTCCTGCGTCAGACTTGGTCAGTTTTGTGATGCCCACGTACAGAATTGCGTAAGATAATAGAGTCCCCTCGTTATATCTGATGCTGTATCGGCCCCTCTGTTCGGAGTCTCCAGTCGTTTCAACCAGAATGTTTCCTTCTTCACATTTTCCCTTACAGAAGAGCTTCCTTCCTCCAGAGAAAGTAAAGGAGCATGAAACTCTGAAGTTTCCTCCTTCAGTTTCTGTACGGTCGAGGTTTTGTGCGTTGGTGAGCCCACTGTTTCCATCCCTCAGTGCTGTTGGAGAGAAGAGCAATCAATAGTTACTATATTCCTGAACAGTTTCTACATGTCTGTACAAACTGTAAAGTCCCCTATATAAATCAACTTTGATTGACTGATTCCTGTAATACACTGTAGTCTGATTTCAGTTACATAAATCATTAACAGAGCCACAGAGTCACACTGGGAGCTGCCCAGCTCAACCAGTCTGTAACAGAAATATGAATATATAAGATAAACTTTATTATCCCAGAGGGAAATTGCAGCATTTACAATCCATAGTGTAAAGAGTGCAAATACAAAGAGATAACATGAGATAAAAAATCTGACATTATGATTAGGTGCAAACCCAAACATAAACAATACGTCAGGGATAATGTTCAGAAAACGGGTCAATATTAATAAATAACAACAGGGTAAACAGGACCAGGGTCTTGAATTTCATTTTGTTACTTCAAAAAGTACTGCAATTCATTTTATTTTTTTTAAAGAAGGACAATAATAAGCAAATATTTCTGGAAAGGAAATCAATTAAACTGAAACAATTGAACTGATCATTAAAAAAAAGATAAGAAAGGAAAATAACACATTTACAGGAACAGTAAGTGATCTGAAATGGGGTTTTAATGTATGAATGTTACCAAGTATTTCTTATTTTACTTATAGTAGAAGTACGTATGTCACCACAGAGACTCAAACCCCTTTCATCCTGTTGTGTAACCACCAGAGATGTTCACAAGTCTTTTTTTGCAAGTCCAAGTCAAGTCTCAAGTCTTTGGTCACGAGTCCAAGTCAAGTCTCAAGTCTTTGTGGGGTGAGACTTGATCAAGTCTCAAGTCTTTGGTCACGAGTCCAAGTCAAGTCTCAAGTCTTTGTGGGGTGAGACTTGATCAAGTCTCAAGTCTTTGGTCACGAGTCCAAGTCAAGTCTCAAGTCTCTAAAAAATAAAAGTCTCATGTTTCTTCTGGTTGTAATAAGCCTTCTATTGTCTGCTGCTATCCAGTCTGTTAAGAATACTGCACAGCTATATCTAAGACATTCAAAGCATTTACTGTATTATTATCACTCCTATATCTATTAGCATACAGTATCAGTACTGATTAGTTGTTTGTTATATGATCACTTTAAACAGGCTATTGCAATGCAATATGAGGAAAAACATCACACTTTAGCTAAATGCAAACAACTTATAAGCAAAACACTTCAGAATCAGAAATCAGTATCACAAATACTTTATTAATCCCCCGCAGGGAAACTGTGTTAAAAGTACTTAAAAGAAAACATTTGTTCTTTGCAACTAAAAAACTATTGCTGCAATATTATCTGAAATATACTGAACTGGTGATATTAAAACATGACCTGTTCCAAAAGAGATATCTACCATTAACACCATTTATCAGCCAAATGCTGGTAAATCATGCAAGTGGCTGGTACTGTATGTTGCACGCACCAGCCACAAATAACAATGGCAATCTATTGAGTGGCTGGTAACATTTCAACATTCACTAGGCTAGCCATTTGGCCAGTGGACAAAAATGTTAAAATGTGACCTCTGCAACCGTATTGTTTAATTACACTGGGTCTCTAATTACATCTTTTAAGTCTACTATAAATAAACATATTCCTCTATCCTCTCACTCAAACCCAGTGTAATGGTAACCCGATAAACCTGTAACATTAACGTTACGTGGTCAACAATAAACCTGTAACCTGCCTATAAACCGACAGATGTATTTATGTATGCAGTGGCGTTTCTAGGTGTACAAAACTGGGGGGGCAGAAAGAGGTCGGGGGAGAGAGAGAGAGAGAGAGAGAGAGAGAGGGGGGACAGAGAGAGGGGGGGAGGAGAGAGAGAGGGGGAGTGTCAAATTACATACTGAAGACCACAGGAGCAACACTGTGAGCGCATACATTTACGTACACAGCGTGGGGATATCATAGTAATGCACCTTCATACATGGAGTAAAGGTCACCATCACAAAGTAATTCTTAACAATAACAACAACCGTAATGCTTTAGCATTAAAACACCATAGACTGTAAATATAAGGAAAACACAGACACTCATCATCGAGGTCACAATATCAATCGATCCAGCAGAGGCAAAATACAGAAGATCAACAAAATATATGACATAAATGAACTTACCAAAGCTGAAGGCTCACTTGAAAAGAAAAGCGGCACGGCGGTCCTTCCTCTGACAGAATGTGTCTATCACTTTGGGGATGAAGTCCTGTAGTTGCTGGATCAACTGGCTTTCAATTGAAAGCATGGCCAATGCGTTAAGTCGCGGCTTGTCCCATGGTGTTGCGAGTGAAAGTCTTTATCCTTTTGAGGGTGGAAAAGTTCCTCTCTGACTCGGATGTCGTCATCGGAGTTGTCACTATTATTTTGACCAAAATAACAGTCTCAGCAAACGTTTCCTCCAAGTTGTTCTCGTGAATGGATTTCAACAGAGACAGGGCAGTGTTTCCAGTGTGAAGCTCACTGTGGCGGTAGAGCGTGGTCAGCTCAGACTTCAACTTCTCCTTGTTTCCCAACGCAGGCCACAGTTTCACGGCGCAGTCAAGCTCAGGTGTAGGAAATGACAGGACATGCTGTGGGAAGAATGAGCTGTCAACAAGCTTTGCAGCGATCAAATGGTCACTCTGTGAGAACCTCTGTTCCACCTGTGAGATGACTGTGTCACAAGCCTCCTTCATCACCGGCGCTGTGCTGCTGACTCGTCGGCCTGGCTCGTCTGTTCCATCATGAGCAGTGGCGGCCAATGCATCAGTTTTCTGCCTCATTTTCTGAACATTTTCCTTGAAACGGCAGAGCGCGCTGTTGATCCCAGGTGCATCGATGCTTCGTTTTTGCAGAGTGTTGTATAGAACATCCACTTCTGGCATAAGCAACGAAAAAAACTCCAGGAGCTGCATAAATGCTCGGTTCCCGCAGTTTCTTTGACAGGCCGTATGCCTCACTTATGGTGACCGCATCCCATCCTGGTTGTGCGCGTATATGCTTCATACACTGAAGTAGTGCATCTCGGGTCTCTCAAACCGCGTTCACAGTTCTGCTTTTAAAGTTCCATCTCACAGCCGGTGGCCGTGGGATGCGTCTCTGTGTTGCCTCTGCAAGAGCTGCAACACGTTTTGGAGCACCGGAGAAAAAAGTGGAAAAAGCAGTTCGATCTGCAAAAAACCCCTTCAGGATGCTCATCCTTGCTGAACACAGTTGCTGCAGGGTCAGGTTCAGTTGGTGGGCGTAGCAGTGAACAAACTGAGCGTTTGGGTACGTCTCCTTCATCACCGTCTGTACCCCGCGCACGTTACCGCTCATGACGGCCGCCCCGTCATAGGTCTGAGCGATTAGCTTTTCTTTCAGCTTCAGGGGTTCCAGAACAGCCTTGATGCTGTTAGAGAGACCTACACCAGTTTTGTCCTTTACTTCCACAAACTCCAAAAAACGCTCTGTAACTGTGAGGTCAGGCATAATGTATCGCAGCACAATCACCATTTGCAATTTACAGGAGACATCGGTTGTCTCGTCGGCCTGAACGGCAACAAATGATGTGTTGTCCACTTGCTTGGCTATTTCCTCCCTGTACACATCATACATGCAGTCCAAGAGTTCATTCTGTATGGTGCTTGATGTCCCTTTGAAAACAAGCTGAGCTTCGTAGTGCCGTTGAAGCCTCACACATTGTCTCGAAAATTGACCTGAATATCCCTGGATTCAGAGAGTCCGCCGACTCGTTGTGGCCCCCGCAGTGCTGTCTCACATTTCCCACACAGTTTAATACAGGTGATGATCCGACCAAGCACGTACCTGTTTTCTTCCACCTTCCTATTATGAGAATCAATGCCACGTCTGTAGGCGCTGTCAATCTGAGCTGCAACATTCACCCTTCCAAGTAATCCCAATTTTACGGCATTTTCCAAATGACTGTTGCTGCTCTCATGCTTCATTGTCCTCTCCGAAAGATGCTTTAAATCCTTGTAACCTGTCCTCGACCAAGTACCTTGATCTTCACCAAAAAGCAGGCAAGGAAAGCAAAAGAGGGAATTCTTCTGGATGCTCGCCGTTAGCCATTTCTTTTTAGCAAACCACTCAGCGTTAAACCCACGTTTAACTTTGCCCGCAGTCTGGACCATTTGGAAATCCGGTGGATGGTGGGATAAGTGTCTCAAATGTGTGCTCCAGTAAATGGTCAACTTCATTCATTTTCTTTCAGTTTTTTACTTCTTTTAATCGCTGGTGATGTTAGCTATATGCTGCTCTCTCGTCTCCTCTTCAAACTACACGTGACGTTTCGCAGCACTGCACACGTGAGTACTTACAGCCAATCAATTCTGAATTATGTGAGATGACGTATGGTGGGGATGGGAGCACTCTGCCCCTACGGTCATTATTTTTTTGCCACACACATTCAATAGAAAAATACTCTGAGCATGCGCAGTGTAGTTTTTACAATCACCGTTCACTTAGACTGTGAGAGGGAAGGGCAGGATCGGGTTTTGTCCCACATGGCTCTAAACAGCTCAAAACGGCACTCTAGACACTAATTAGAAGAACACAGACTAAAACAGAAATGTACAGACGAATCAGATTATTAAACATGACCTTAAAATATATTTTATATGTTTTTTTATTTATTTTTTAGTATTTTTTTGTAATCATTATTTGTAATACTTTCTTCTGACACTAGGTGGGGCTGTGCCCCACCTGCCCCTAATGACCCGCCGCCACTGTATGTATGTAACTATGTATTTTTCTACGTTTAACGTTAGCCAGTAGATGGTGGCAGCGGAACGTAATGATTAACGTTTCCGACCTTTTTTATGTCATGTCAAGAGTTGGATGTCAACGCCACTCAACGCAAACAAGTGTGACAAGCAAACATTCACTCATCTTTTCAAATATTCAGTTACAAAGCTAGAAGCAAGCTAAGTTAACATTACATAGCTGATGCTGAGCTAAACATGTTTGCTAACCGTCCATATGCGTTAATGTGACTGACCTCTCCGGGTGAGTTTTCAAGTGCCTGATGACATTTGACGTTGTTGCACCAGCATCCTTGATTTTAATATTGCAGACTTTGCAGTGTGCGCTACTTTTGTTGGTGCAGCCGGCGTTTTGTTCGAAGTTTTTATAGTTGAACCTAATTACAAGCGGTACAGCTGCAGGTGTGCCGCCGGTCGCCATGGTGTTACCATGATATTAATGTTAAAGGTGGGGTAGGTAAGTTTGAGAAACCGGCTCGAGATACACTTTTTGTTATATTCCATGGAATGCTCTTAACATCCCGATAGCCGGCCCGGCTAAAGTAACTGGATGGCCTACCTGCCTGTCAGCCTTCCATCGGGGCACAAACTTATCTAGTGCCCTCATTTGTCATGTGCTCGTTCGTGTGTGTTGGAGGAGGGGCTCTGTGAGGAAGTGGCAGATTTTCTCCGGTTGTGTATTTTCAGATTCTAGCGATCTCGAGCCGGTTTCTCAAATTTACCTACCCCACCTTTAATACGCCAAAAATAGAAAACACAATGATTGTTCACGAGTCCCAAAACACGAGTCCAAGTCGAGTCCGAAGTATTTTGAGCAGGAGTCCAAGTCAAGTCTGAAGTCTCTGTGTGTGCGACTTAAGTGCGACTCGAGTCCGAGTCTCAGACTCGAGTCCCCATCTCTGTTAACCACAGAAACCAACGACATGTTAAACTGATACGAGAGGTGAGGAAACAGAGAGCCGTTTACCGTCCACTATAAAGTTTAACGGACTGTTAATTAAAAAAAATATAAGAAAGAAAAATAACTTTAAAAAGAGACACATTTACAGGAACAGTAAGTGATCGTACTCACTGAGGAAGAAGAAGCAGATCAGAGAGTGACGGGCGTTCATGTTTGAGGCGCTGATGATTTAAAGCTGCTTTCTTCCGTCTTCGCTGCCAAAGCAGGAACTGTCCACTTCTCTAAATGATGGAGTCCCTCCCACAAACACACGACACCCTGAACTCTCCTCCCTTCTTATTTTAGTTTATTTTTATAACTGCAAGTCATTTACTAGAACATTTAGAGAAGATTGACATTTGAACTGTGTTTGTTTGTAACATGAAGTGGCATACACGTCATGTTTATCTTCACAGTGCCATCAAATTCCTTCAACTCATTTTGGTAATTTTGAACTTTTTTGGCAGCTCAATGTTAGTCCAAGTTTTTTTGTAAATGATGTGTTTTTTAAGAACAGAGTATTGTCCATTGCTGCAGTATCTTTGAATCAAAATAATACAATAATAAAGTATGTTTGTCCTCAATAAAAACAAATAATCAATGTAACATTAAGCATCACAGCATATAGCGTGAATTATTAAAATGTATTTCAGTCATTTCAGAAATGGTACATGAATTTATATTCTAAGTACAAAACTTGGCTAATGTACTTGGTTAGTTTCATCACTGGTGTAGTGCGGTAAGAAGTCGGTAATGATATCATGCACAGATATAATCAACAGAAATGCTTCTGTGTGCATTCACTGGAAACCTCTATCTGATTGTAGACATAATCATATTTTAGTTTTATCTGAGTGAGAATTCAGTAGATTTGGTCCTTATTACTCGAGGCTTGGACATAAAAAAATAATATATAGGCCTAGACTAATTGACGACATACCGGAAACACAGTCGAGGCCTTCTTTGAAATGCATTTGTGGGATATGTAAGCAGAAGCTGTCAACATGTAAAATGAGAATACATAAGAGGAAGCTGTTGTTGTGTCGTGGTGAAAATATGAGTGTTTGGAACATATGAGAGCACACAGAGGTGTGGAGTGTGTCAATGTGGTATGAGAGGTTTCTGTAGACATTTTGAAACGTATTTTCTCTGTGAAAATGTCCACTACTTCTGTGAACCTAAGCTGACCTAAGCTGCTGTTTTAATGAAGGAGTGAACTCTGAAGATTTTGGGCTGAATAAGGATATTATACATATATATAAATAAAGTGCTGATTCTGGGTTTAAACAGGTCTCTCTTGAGAATGAGACCCTGTGTCTCAATGAGATGTTCACCTGTATAAATAAAGGCTAAATAAAATTAAAATAAAATATAGTTTGTTTTTGTTGTTTTGGGTACAAAATGCCAAAATCTCAACACTAAAGCATTATCATTTTTAGCATATAAACATCTATGCTCCAGCAGACACAGAGCAACACGAGCATTCATTAGCACACAGCTGATAAATGTATAATAATGAATTTAACTGTGAACCAAACCAGTACAGTGGCAAAATGAAATGACCTGAGAGTTGTCAAAACACTAGAGCTATAGATCTCTATGTGTTAGTCAGTCTGAGTTAATGTTTTCACTTTGAAAAAGGGAGCCATTGATGATGTAGGAATATTGATCAGTGCAGCGTTTAGTGTACAGTACATATATAATCCACATGTTTTTAATAAACATGTCAAAAAAGCTGTGTAATTGTGAAAGGGATTTCTGGTAGTGATGAATCTGAAGAGAGTTAACATTATTTGAAACTGCATTGCTTTTGCACTTAATTAAAAGCAAACAGAGAGGAAGAGAACATAGAAATCCCCTCAGTCTTGGTGCTCTCAATGCAACGCCTCAAGTATTTCTCTCTGTCTTGAATGAGTTACTATTTAAAGTGTTATAGATTACTCACCATCAGAGTGATGATTAGTCCTCTTTTTGTGGAGTGGCAATACAGCAGCCAATAGCAAAACCACCGGGTCCACACACAACCAAAACCCTTTGGAAACACCTTAGAGGGGAGAGGGACAGAAAAGAGACAATTAATACAATTTGATCTGATCTGATTAACACATTCTTCTAAAACAAAGACAAGTCTTGTGAAAATGCAAAAAATCTTGCTTCATGCAAACGTAAAACCCTCCTGTCACGAAATGTATCATGAAGATGTAGCTTCTTCTTGTGTCTAGCGCTGAAACTGATATGTTTTCATTGTATAACTTGCATTTTTTATTAACTGTACCTGTAAGCACATTGTTTATTTCCAGTAGAGTGGTCAGAGATGGGAACAACAACAACAACAAAAATACAATGCAAAGAACATGACGCTTTACTGTAACAGGCTATTTCTGTGGCAATAACTTATTTGACCGCTTAGTGGCAGCAGAAACATCTTGTAAACAACACTGACATCACCTTGAAGGAGAAGTTGGAAGCAACTATGGAATGCCATTCAAGCCAAAATTAAATAAATACATAAATAATTAAATAAATACATATATATATATATATATATATATAAATATGCCTATGAAATAAATTCTGAAATAAATAAATGAGGCAATAAATATGTATACATGTACATTTAAATACAGATGTATTTATTTCATGGGACTTTTATTTCATAATGACACGTTTATTTATTTCAGGGGACTTTTATTTCATAATGACACGTTTCCATTTCTTATATGCAAATGAACGGGGCGTGGTTAGCTCACAGATCCAAAATGATGATATTATGCTGATAAATTGTTTGGTCAGCTCAACCTGTTGTATCCCACGGTAGCTTCCTGCCAAGGTCGTACTTGAACAATGAGGCTCTTGTTCCTTATGAGAGCATAGTAAGATAACAGTTAGGAGAAGGTGTTATCTCTTTCCTTTTGCACAGCAACAGTCCTCTATAAATCACACACATTTGCCTCTGCGTCCACTCTTTGCAAGACCTATACCATTCAAGCTTGGATAAAGAACTACTAAGACAACTCTGTTTGCTTTCACCATTTCATTATTGATTACTCTCATTGTACATCTTTACAGTATTGACAAGGTTAAAATATCCTAACATTAGTCTTCCGCCACCTGTGAGGAAAGGTCCTCCGAATTCATGCGGAAATAGGTATGGAATTGATGTGAATTGATTTGGTGAATGACAGTTTGAATGTGCTTTTTATTATCACCGGTCTTTTATGAGGAGATGCCTCTAAATTCTATCAGGAGATTTAAATAGCACAACTGAATTGGGCAGTTGAAGTTACAATTTAGTGTAATGTAAAACTGTGACTTAGGGTTGCATATTAGAACATGACCACAGCATGATATGTTTTGTAGGATTGTCATGTTGTAAAGAGAGAAGGTAGAAACCCAGTATAAGTGTGGATACATTTTTCTTCAAATAAACTGATCCCACCTTTTGGATTGGGACAACTTAAAATACATCTGTGCTCTCCTCTCCTGCTTAAAAGGTGAGATTGCACACTGCCACACTCACTCTTAGGTAGGGCCACCACACCTCATTACTGATATCAAAATCCTTCAGGATCGCTTAAACAGATTTAGCGGGTCGTCTGAATTGAAACAGCAGTTAATTTAAGCTGGTTCTTCAGGAGTTAATAGAGGTGAGATCTTGCTGACGTTGGTGGATCTGAGCCAAGCAGTAAACTTACATAGACTCAATAACTTCTGTTAGGTCAATTAGTAGGTCTGAGTAATTTGCCAGAATAAATGATCAGCCCTCCCGACTCCTACATGGCGCCCAACTGTGGGGCTCTGTGAGAAGTCATACTTTTACAGAGTTAAACTACAAGAACTCCGGAGTGGGGTCCGGAGGGATTACACAGAAGCTAGATCCGGACCTTCTGCCCCCCCTGGTCAGCTTAGCCCAGACCCACGGGCATACCGCAACCTAAATACGTTCCTGTTAGACTACCGTTTAGACCGAGAGCAACAAGCAGGTGGTATAATGTCTGAGACCCTACCTCCACCCGGATGATAGCTCACAAACGCCATTTATGAGTAACCCATCTAATACTCATAGAAGAACACATTGTTAGACATGATATTCAGGTAAAAGGAATGTTGGAAATAATAATGGCAGATATTGAAAATCTTAAACTGGATCAACTAACCATGTTAGTGAACCCTGCTAATAGGAAGCTAAAACATGCAGGAGGAATAGCAGCAGCTCAGGCAAAGAGAATAGGTCCTAGCATGCAAGCACGGAGCGATAATATGATAAGGACTGTCAGAAGGCAATGTGGTTGTCACTCGAGGAGGTGATGACCCACAAATACCTGTCGCAAGTACCATTTAAACCTATTTGGGAACTATCAGAAGATATCAAACCCCAACAATATCTTCAAAACTAATATGAGGAGGTTTTTCGCGAAGCTAAAGCTCAAATACTTTACCAAAATCTATTAAACTATTTGCTCTTGACCCCTTTTTGGAAATGGGATTTTCGGTTACACAACAGAAGACTCAATTCAGGCCTTAAAGAAGGCTTTACAAACAAGTCAGGGAGAGTTAAATGTGGTGCTATGTTGCTCATAAGGGAGCTTACACTTTGGAAAAAGACCTCCCCCTTTCTCTGCTCCTGAGGTGCTGCAGACAAACGCAGCACACAGGGTCAGAGACAGGCATGACCTCTGGAGAGGAAGAACATCTAAATCTAAACAGACCACAGAGCGACCCATTAAAAGGTTTTATGGCCTCAACACAGAGAGGAAGATCTGGAGATTGTAAGGAACTCTCCCAAAGCAGGCTACCCACCCCCATCACGCCAAGGGGAAGAGTTTTGCTCTCACCAATGAATAAATCAGCTCTTAACCAAGTCAGATTTCAAATAGCCTCCAGTTGTTAAGAAAAGAGGGAGATTCAAAAAGTTATCCTTTCATTACAAAGGGGAACAATGAAACCCTTACAGAAAACCGCTTCTCCCAAAATAACTAAGGTGACCAAGCAGCTACTTGGGCTTTTATAATGAAAACTAATTCAGGTGAATTACTTTGCAAGGAAAAAGGTGTGATTCCGGGTACAGCACAGTTGAGGGTCTTCTTTTTGCTAAAAAACGTAAAATAACACACATCCGTATTGTTACTGATAGTGATTATTGTTACAAAGCAGGTAAAGGTGTTGGTCCGACAGGTCCTTCCTGGGTGTTCACCTGGCGGAGGACCTGTCCTGGAGGACCAACACCACAGCAACCGTCAAGAGGGCA